ACAGAAAGCTGCCTACTATAAAGGGAACAATTTATGATATGATGAAGTAGCAGCGTAGGGCTGACTGACTGAACCTTTATATACCCTCTCATCCGTATAAAAACAAAGTGATGACGGAGCCGTTCATGCGTAGTTCCTCTGGGGCACACTTTCCACTGAGCCTACGCTCAAGCAAAGCAAGGTTCGATGGGCGCAGATTTTTCTTCAATAACAGTGGTTTCGGCGTGGAACGCTCTTCCCGAAGATGCTTACTCCACCTATTTGAATACATTTACGGACAAACTAGAGATGCACAAATTGCAGACCAACCCCAGCACCAAACAGTTACTCACTTCCACCATATTACTCGTTCCAAGCGAGTAGCCACGCTTTAGTGCTATTTCGACTAACCAGCAGCTGCTCATTTTTCGCCCTGCAGGCATGTAATTGACGTATTTTTTTACTTTTATTTTGTATCCATACATTTCCTAGTCATTTTGCTAACAATAGGGATCTCAGAGGCGTTTGTCTATCCTTTCCTTAATAAAACTGATACTGATACGTCAATAAGGCTGTCAATATCACCCCTCTTCGGGCTTACAGATTGGTTCGCCAAACTATCTAAAACCAGTACTACCCGTTGAAACGGCAATGGATAAGTTTAGAAACGCCCGGTCTTTCGATGGGGATTTCAGAGACCATATGTTTAAAAATGGGGTTAGATGAGTTTGAATTGTGCGATACCATGAAAGTCCAAAACGAATGAGGGTTAGAGAACGTACGCTCCTCTGATATTTATAGCACGCAACCTTAGCAAAGAAGTTCAAATGTCATGAATATCTGCCAGGAAATATGATTGTCTTCCGGACGGGACGTTAGGATTCTTCAATGGCACTAGCACACCAATTACCTCGCCTAACCTTACTGCCAATACTACTGGCTCACTGCTATTCCGAAATGCAGACAAAAATCACATAGGTAGGCTGAGGAGGTACGCTTACTAACTGCAGTGCGGATACTACTTGGAACAGCAAACATCCCAGTGGAAGCACCGGACCTAGTGCGAGGCGTAAAGTAATTAATTAAAGGCAAACCGTAATTGTACCGGAATGATAGGTGGTTGACCGCTCACTTTGAGCAAGTATACAGAGCAGTATAACACTGTAAAAAAGAAGGATTTATATTGTACAGAAGTTGTCTAGCAGGTTAGAAGATATCACCATGCACTGAAGTCGGACAAGGTTGAACGCAAAACAACCTTCCGCTTCTTTTTCAATTGTTCGGCTTGTGTAACGGAGGCCTCGCGCGCAGCTGACGCTGCTCGCGCCTTGGCCTCAGCTGATCGATCCAATTCTTCTGTTTGCGATATATCGATGAATTTTCCAACACCCTGTCGTTGAGCCACAACGGCCGCTATAAAAAAAGAGGCGTGAATGGACGAAGAGGGCAGTTTGACTCAAAATGATGCGATTATCTGGTAGGCGAGCACCCAAAAACGGAATTAGGACTCTGTTTTTGTCTAGTTTGGTTTTTCATGAAATCGCGTTTCAACTGTGCCCTGCAGCCGTTGGATAGAGTAGGTTATATGTTAAGCCAAGACTGTTTGCCAATGAGATAAAAAAGCTGTAACTAAACCCGATTTGGCGCGTGCGACCATATGAAAACATTGAGAACATCTAGAAATGTCAGCTCTTCTTTTTCAGGAAATCTATTTTTTAGCTTTACTATGTCAAAGATCCAAACGTAATTGGCCCTGATTATGGGAGACTTTGCATTGCCGTCGCCATTCACACAGGATTTTTAGCCACTGATTCAGTGACTAACTGATTCAATACGATTTTATTATCACCAAACGATTTATCGATTGGTTGACTGGGGGCAAGTAAGACAACACAGTTATGAACATTTTTACAGGATAAACATAATGCCTGATGCCGCAAGCGGACATTGGGATGCTGAATTAACCGATAACATTATAGAAAAAAACAAGGGAGATTAGTGAATTGTCATTTCTGACTTATTTGCTGCCGTCAGCTAGTCATACCCAACCCCAGGTGGTGGCACCATGCGAGGTTAGCATCTGTGATCTGCTGGTTAGAAGACCTAACGCTCATGTTCTTCTGTCTGTACTACTAGCCGCTTTGGGGCTCGAATGGTACTAGTGAGTCTCGTAACCGATCAGCGAACGCCAATCCACCAAGATCGCAGCTCTT